GTGAGGGACCATACACAACAGTAAGTAGCTAGTAGCAGTGCTAGCTGCTGCAGAGGCAATTACATTATGTTATAAGGAATTTACTTGGTGATAGTGGTGCTGTACCTTATGAATTCAATATTGAGTAGCAGTATATAAGCAGTTGTTGGGCCTGCGTGACTCCCCTCATGCCAGTTAGAGAGGTTGCCAACACTCTTTGACAAGCTTCCTAGATGGCATTCAGGGAGCCAGGCAGACCATTCTTTCAGACCAAGCAGCTAGCTCTAGCTAGTAGGAAGCAGTCTCGAGCATCTTAACCTGCAAAAAATTAGTACACAATCTAATAAATGCCATATATACATACATACCTTGTGATCTCAGTTAATTACTATCATCTATAAACACTTAACTGATTCACGAACTATTGATACTTTTTTTCTTAAGCAGCTCCATAATTTAAAAGACTAGACTTAGATAATGATGTTCAAGAAAAGTTGATTGATTCTTGATTGTATTAGATAATTGTAATAATATGGAAGCTTATAAACCAACATTCAATCACAGAAATATTTAGACACTTACAGTGCTTGGAGAGAAGATATGACACAAGACTGGAAGATGAGCAAATAACTGGGAGATCAACCACTAATCTACCTCTCTCTTTCTCTCTCTGTATGTGTGGTGTCTGTATGAATATTGTTTCAGGCTTCGATTGCAAGCAAAGAAAAGCACGTGGGGAGGGGGGATTTAAAGGGGTTGTGGAGGAAGAAGAAAGACAGAAGACAGAAGAAGAATATTCTTCGGGAGAAAGAAAGGTGGTAGAGAAGGCGGCAGCAACGGCTTAACATATAGCTCCATAGATACAGCCAAAGCTACCTGGGTTTTACAGGTAACATTGGATTTTCTTTCCTTGGAAAAGGTGATTTTCCCACCCAGCACTTCCTTTTCATTCTTCCCTTCCCAATTGTAATTCAAGTTGTGTGTGCATGGTCTCTCTCTCTCTCTCTCTCTCTCTCTCTCTCTTACTCTCTTATTGCATTCGTAGGATTGCATTTTATTGCATACAACTGTTTCAAGAGTATTATCAACTCATTTCATCTGTCCTAGCTACCTAATTTTATTTTATTTTATTTTTTGTAAGAAATTGAAAATCACACAACGTACTATGTTATTTTAATGTTTGGATTGATGTAGAGGATAATGGATTTTGATAATTCCTAGAGGAAGCCAGCCAAAACAAGTAAACAAGACAAAGTGTAGCAGGGGTGCCTTAGTTGTCGTCATGTCCTCGCTAGAGGTTTTAATTTAACAAAAAAATAATCATTCTGTGTTGGAGATAATTGTTTATGTTAAGATAGTAATGGAGCTTATTGTAGTCTAATGCCATATATCACAAGATGCATAGATTATCTATGTATCAATTTGAAATAATCAATTAGCCTGCAGCAGCTAAGATAAAAAAACGAATGCTATGTTTTGGATCTTCTGAGAACTGGAAGACCCATATATATAGCATATGCAAGGGAGAGGAGAGGAGAGGAGAGGAGAGGAGGAACTAGAAAGAAGCTAGAGCCTGCTTTGCCAACGGAGAATCACTTTTAACCACTGAACGCAATTGCGAGTGGGCAGTCGGCTGGATCCACGGGACCCTCTTGAGCCCTAGGCCAATAGTAGCATGCTCCACCCCTTCTACCGATACTCTTGAATGCAAATGTTGACGTTTTACGAGCTAGCATTTATGCACCAAGACAGAACTGATCAGTTGCAAGAAAGAGTCTGGTCCTTGCTATGAAGAATGATTAATTATTCTAAGCAAGTCGATGTCGAGATGTTTACATACTGTAAGAGCATTTTTCAAAACACAGAATGAAGGTGTGTTCTAAACCACAAAAGCAAAGCTTTTTCATGGATAATTAACAAGGTGGAGTTTCTATGGGTGATCATGATGGCGTGCGAACTCAATGATTGAAGAGAGAGTAAGATGTAAAACAAACAAACATATATAGATAGATAGATAGATGGATAGATAGATTTTCCCCCAATTCATGGCAGTATCCTATCTAGATATCGGGGCCACTGATGTGCCAAGGCAGTTGGGAGAGCCATAAATAAAGTCAGTCGATGGACTGATCAGGTTGAAGGTGATAAGGCGGGCTAGTCTGTCACATAACCAAGATAAGAGTGGGAGGTGGTGGGGGGGCTGGATATAGATGCCCTCCCAGAAAAAAGAACATCTTAAGAGGTGATATCACTGTGTTGGATTATTTTTTATACGAGAAATTATTGTCTGCCAGAGTTTCCCCCCTTGTTGTTGACGAGCTAATGAGCGTGGGATTGCACTTTTTTTGCACTTTTTTTGTATTTCGAGTGTCCTTCATGTCATGTGATGTTTGATGCTAACTTTGAAGACACAGCAAACTGCAGAATAGGAGGCCACTGGGCCCTTTGGTTGATCTGCTGGAAGATATTGCACCAAACCAGTCAGATTTGTCACGAGATGATGCAACTTCTGAGCCTCTGGCCTCCTTGGCTTTTGTGATTTTCGACAGCCGGAAGATGCTGGTCCCTTGAATCCTTTCACAAGTTACTCTTGTTTGTCTGAAGGAAAATTGGCGTCTGTCTTCGCGGAGATATTACAAAGCTAAAACTACATACAGTAAAAAACTTGCCCAAACTCAAGTTAAAATTAGTCTAGACATGACCTAAATTAACTAAGATATATAAGTAAGAATTACAAGAAGATTGTTCTTCTCTTTTTTTAATTTTTATAGTTGTGCGTAACCCTTATAAAAATCAAAAATGTTAATTTTTTACCTTGAGTTTTGGTTAAAGAGAAGTAAATATAAAAAGTATGTAATTTTCATATTACTCTTTATTATGATTTATTTATAAAATAATTAAAAAAATATTAGAATTTATAAAGATTTAAAATTTATATTATTAAGATTTTATTCATGATTATTATGGGTTTAAGGTTAAGTAATTGATATTAGGTGTGTTGTTAAAAATAAAAATTTATGAATTAATTTGTTATGAGTTAAGAAATTTGTTCCAACTTTACTAAAAAATCTAGACAAAATGATTTTGAGGTTGAAAATAATAAATTTTATTTTGATTATTGATTTATAAAAATTACATATTAGTCTCTAAACTTTGAAAAATTATAATTTGACTCCTGAAATGTATTTTGAAGAAATGTATTTTGAAATCCTGGGCAATATTATTATGAGGTTAAAGATGATAAATCTCAATTTAATAATTTATTTGTATAACTTATAGGTTTGTCCCTTTATTTTGGAGATTTACAATTTAGTCTATAAACTTTGAAAAAAAATTATAGTTTGCTCCCTAGAATATAAATTGAGATTCTGGACAGAATTGATGATGGATTGTGAATAAAATTTCAATATGGTTATGTATTTCTAACATTTACAATTTGGTCATCCAGTTTTAGTAAAATTATGTTTCGACCCCTAATTTTTAAAAATTATCGTTTTAGTCACTAAATTTAGGAGACTAAACCTAGTTTTTTTTATGCATTAGAGTCTTTTATTTGTGTTATTTTAAGTTGTTTCTTATAATATTCTATATATTTATTGTAGATACTTCTAACAATGATTAATATGATTTTCAGATCTTTCATTTAATATTTCATTCATTTCTATATTTTTCAAATGAGTAGGATAATATTTAATATTTATGTAATATAAATAAATATTTATGTTGATTATATAATTAGTATCGCTAGTTAATTTCTTAAATATTTATATTTATTGCTTTTTTTTTCTAAGTACTCATCTTATTCTTAATTTTGCACTCGTATTTTATTGAATTAAATTATATTTGATATGATATACATTGTTTTGATAATTATGTCAATATCTATTATGTCTTGATATATAAATTGTTAGTAACTTTATCCTAACTAAAGAAGAGTAGTTAGTCTATATAACATAATATTTTGTTTAATTAGTGAGAAAGATAGTGGTATATAACAATTGATCTTCCCACAATGATCATCTTCATGTGTTATCTAACTTCTAACATGTATTCCATTATTTTATGATAATATGTTAAATATGTATATGCAAATCAAGATGAATCGATTTACAAACTATTAATATCTAAAATATATATTAAATGTTATTTTCTCACTGAGTTGGTTAAACTCACTCATTTTTTTAATATTATTTCAGGTATAGTTATTAGACCCGACTGAGGGTTGATCCGGTAGAGGATTTGGGTCCTGTGTTACACGTGTTGACCCAAATTAACTTGAAAAAATTTTTAAAAAAATATATTTGAAGTTTTAATATTTTATATGAAAAAAATTAAGAAACAATCCATGTAAATATAGGTTATACATACTAAAAATAATGAAGTTTAGAATATTGTTCCAAAATATTTTTATCCCACATTGAAAAGATATTATAATAGTATGTTATCTTTTTAAATTGAATTATTTAAACCAAAAAGCTTTTTTTATCTCATATTAAAAAAAATATAACTTTTTTCTTATAATCATAGAATATATATATTAAAAGTTTCAAATCTCACGTTGAAAAAATAATTTTTTTTTTATAAATAAAAAGTATTGATATAGTGAACTTTTAAAAGGATATATATATATATATATATATATATAAGAGAAAAACACATTTGAAAAAAAAAAAATCTCAACCAGATTTTAATGGGTCGCTTATGTCATAAGTCAACCTAATTTTACCAGGTTTTTTCTCATCTCAATCTTTTAACTTACCTAGGCTGGTCTAGCCACCTAATTGACCCGTCAAACCAATCCGGGTTTAATAACTATGATTTTAAATTTTTAGTTTTTCATAATAGATGAACTTTATTAAGTGGATTTTATAAAAATATATATATATATATATATATATATATATATATATATATAGGAGAAAAACACATTTGAAAAAAAAAAAAGATCTCAACCAGATTTTGATGGGTCGCTTAAGTCATAAGTCAACCTGATTTTACCAGGTTTTTTCTCATCTCAATCTTTTAACTTACCTAGGCTGGTCTAGCCACCTAATTGACCCGTCAAACCAATCCGGGTTTAATAACTATGATTTTAAATTTTTAGTTTTAAATTTTTAGTTTTTCATAATAGGTAAACTTTATTAAGTGTTCTTACTTCTTCAATTTTAGTTGAATTATCTTGTTTATTTCGCGAGGCTTTTCTTTTAATTTTGATTCAATATTTTAGACACTCCACTATTATTTTATTTTAATTAAGTTTTGATTTTAATAATATACTAAGTATTATAGATTATTGTTTTTGTTTTAATTAATGATAAAAAATTTTGAAATATCTTTTGGTTTTATTAATTTTGAATAATATAATATTTTAAAAAATTATGAAATACTATTTTTTTGATATATCCATTTCGAAACTTAGTGTAAATGAAATGTCTTTATAACATATCGGTCATCATTCTAAAATCCAAGCCGTGATACCATCAAAATGAAAGTTCACATGGATTCACTTGTTAAACACAGTAAATGAGTCAAGGAAACCATTAGAAAACAGAGTGCAGTTGAAAACCTTGCGGAGAAGAAAATCTTCTTATAATGTAATTCTTCATCAAAACACAGTCTTAAACGACCTCAATGAAATGATTGTTTGATCAACTAGGCAGGAGTAGAGGCCGCCTCCTCCTCTTCAGTATAGAAAGGAATAGGTTTGGTTGGGGCAGGCAAACGGCCGATGCTATCAACTTTACCTCTTAGCTTTGGTGGAGGCCTAGCAGCCTTTGGCAACAACCTCCCCTTCTTTTCAAACCACTCAGGCTTAAGTAATGCCCGCAAACCCAACTGGTTGTAATGCACTCGTCTGACAGATCCACCAGCAGCTTCAACTGCTTGCTTTGCCCTGACAGTCACTCTTGACACCTGCATATATCAGTTATCAGCACAAGTTTGTGTTGCATGCAAAAAAAGGGAAGGAATTATCACTAAATTTCACTGATAATTGTGATAAGGTATTTGAAATTCAAATGTTTAATCAATTTCAGAAAATGTCAGAAAAATTCCATCACATACACAAAACGTTATAATTGTAGCTATGAATCCTGAACCTTAACCAGCAGTTATAATGGAAAATGTATAATTTCCATCTCAAAAAATTGATTTAAAGCTTTTTAATGGCCATTCTGTAACACTGATATTTATGTATGATGCAGCTTCTTATGACTGTCTAATTGGTTCCCCTAATTGAAAAACAAGGAAAGGAAGAAGTAACATCTGTGAGCCAGCACAATTTTAACAGCTTTCAAGAAACTTGTTTGCCAGTTAGCTCAAACAACGATAACAATAAAGGAAAACAAAATTCAAGCGCACGGGGAAAACTTTAACAGTCGGCTGGAATGTTAAACCTATAGTGCCACCCCAACCAAAACTCTTTGGATTCTTTATTCAATAGTTTGCTTGCATATATCATCATTCAACTAACAGCAACACAATTAAAAAAATGCAACACTTATATCCCAGAGGACATGAACAGAAACTAAGAACTATAAAATTATGCCTTTGAACACTTTGGATTGCCTCGAGAATACTTGAAATCAAAGCTCCTAGCCAAGTTTGTACAAATGCGGAAACCCTGTTCAAGTAAAATTTACCTCCAGATGAATAGGCCATTGGATCTTCTCTGCACCACGCCCCATCAGTCTTATGCCATCTTTTATCTGCTTCCCGATGGCCCCCGTCTCCTGTTGGAATAATTGTAAAGATCAAAATACCAAGGCCCACCATGGAGATGGCTTAGATTTGGGAACTGAAGAAGGATGCTAACATACTTTTAGCGTTTTCATTGTGATTAATTCATGGGAATCTATCTTCCCTGCATTAATAAGTCTTGCAATCTTTCCCAACCCTACTGGCTGCCAGAGAAATCATAGGAGTAAATGATCCAAGGAATGCACACAAGAACAGAGACCATTAACATACTTACAGGAAGGATTGAAATCAATTGCAATGTTCATATAACAAATAAGTAAATTA